TGTCATATATCTCCATCTCTTGAATCTCTTCCTAGGCCTCTCCTGCCCATTTTGTCGCCAGTATGCGTCTCTGCCTGGCACTTATCTTGTCATGCCATTTCTCTATGTTTTCTTCATCATCAAGCCGTTAATCCATTCATTTTTTTTTTCTTTTTGAACATTCTTCCTATGCCTGCATCAATTGGTTGGACTTTGTCTGTCTGCGAATCTGGAAGCAAATAAACAATTGTATTACATGTTTCTCTGCATTTTCAATGAAAAACTTTCTCAGTTTGAAATGAGACATTATCTGCAAATAATACATTCTCATTTTCCTTATCAGTGATTCCTGGTTTCAGTGTTCCTTCTGTCCATTCTCTATTTGTTTTACAATCCATCCAAGCATTTTGCTGGAAGTAGACATCAATTCTATTGTCATACAGTAATTTCTCGTCCATAGCTAAATTGCCTTCACCTTTAAACACGATGGCTGGTTTTACTGATTGCTTTCTTGATCCTCTGATGCACAACTGCAAAGTAGCTTGTCTTTTGCCTAGGCCACTTGTTGGTTGACTAACCCATATCTGCTGCTTGGAGCCTTTATCGTCATAGGTCTTTCCTTGATTTACAACAAAAGGGAGTGGAACTTGATCCACATTATTCCTGTTCTCAGGGAGCCAGCGGCCCTACTTTTGATCATTGCATGCATTTGTATTGCGCTGTCTGCCTGTTTTTAGAGATTTTCTTAGACTTCTATGAAGCATCTGAATGGTTTCTCTGCAATCCTCTGATGAAATATTGTTAATTCTGTTACGCAAGAAAATTCGGTACCTTTTTTGAATCTTTGGAACCAATTCTTACTTGCTTTGAAAGATGAAGCTCTGTTTACACCATAGAACTGTCCAGCCTTGCACTTCATTTTCTTGCATAACCATAATTTTGAAACTCCAATACGCTGTTGTCTTCTTCTCTCAAACTCTGATACAACTAATTTTGCTGCTTGTGGAAATTTTTCTCCTTGGTCAATTTTATCTGATGCTATTTTTCTCCTTTGCCTTGCTGGTACTATATTTCCATTCCTTTTCTTGAGCCTGTTTCTATTTATCTCATCCTTGATCTTCAAACGCTTTTTGTTCATTTTACAACCTAGCACTTATTTGGAATTCCCATAAAGTTTGCAACTTTCTTCCACTTGTTCTTCACTTGATTTTGTGTCATTTGGTCTAGTAGTTCAATAGTTTTCCTTTTGAAATCGAGAGTGTAGGAATTTCTCTTTGAGGAGCCTATCCGATTATCCCCCTTTGGTGTCTGAATTTGACTCGCTTGAAAAAGCTGACAGTCCCCATTTCCACCATCTCTTCGGTCGACAGAATCATTGTGCTCAGTGCCTACCAGATACACTGGTTGAGTTTTTGAAATGTGCAGTCTGTTAACAGCCTCTTTGGAAACAGAAAAATTCTTGATGTTTCCAATGAACATGTATGTCAAGATATTGCTGAGATGTGAATTTGCATTTGCATACTACACACTGAACCTCGTTGATATTTGCAGATGTTGCTGCAAGCATCTAGGCGACCAGAAGCAACGCTTATTTTCTTTGCAATGCCACATCCAAAAAGTGTCCCTTGCATCATTAAAAGTTTTGAAAATATATCCTTGCACGACTGTCCGAGTACCCCGTTTCCCTTGTGGTTTTTCTTTCCACAATCCTGGGAACGAAGCATCCTTTCCCGTCATAAAATTTTCAACTCGAGGCCATTACTTGGAAAAGAGGTTTCAAATGGTAGAGCCTAGCTCAATCCATGCTAGAACCACAGCCACAGGAAATATCGAAAACTAGAATGGCAAAACAGATGGAGTTGTTTTGTGAATCAATAATGCGAGGTTATCATGCCTACATAAATGTAAGAAAAGTAGGCATTGGAGAAATTATGTTCTGTGAAATTGAAGGTGACAATGAGGATGATGATAATGTAATTGCAATCAAGACCAAGGACAACGCAATTGTTGGGCATGTTCCTGAAGAACTTTTATCTCTTTTTTACAAATTTCTTGAAAAGCATGGTGAAGTTGAGGGAGATTGTATTAGCTGCAGATTCAACAAGGATGCCAGAAAGGGGGTGGAACTCCCCATGGATTACAGATTCATTGGAAACTTGACATTTCTTGAAGCATTGCAAAATGACCTGCAGAATATAAAAAAAAGTCTATTTTCAAAAGACACTGAAGAAAGACTGAAAATTGAAATTTGTGACATTAGGCACTCTTTATATGTATATAGTCGTGATTTTTGTAATGAGTTCTACTGAGATCATAGACGACATAGCAAAGCAAATGTTTAATTTGTTTTTGAAAAGCATCTAAGTTTCTGAACATGGGAGCCAAGTATTTTTACAATATTTTACCATATCAATGTATAAAACTTACAATTGTTGATAACTGGACACCTCAGAAAATGCCAGGGATAAACAAAATATTTCATTTTCATTTTTTCATGTTGGGATTGAAATTGGTTTGTCACCAATAAAATACCAACAAAATACCATATGAATATTTGAAATTCAATCATCGTGAAACTAGCTACTTTTATCTTGTGCATTATAGTTGTTAGTGTCCTTGCAATAAGAACCACACTCTGAAAATATCTAGTCAGTCTGTTTTTTATAAAGGAGGTTCTTGTTTGCAGGGTTTTACTGTAATCCAAATTCCATTCATTTTGAAATGATTGCTTGTTGTCGCTAAAGCAAATGCAACTCCTTTACTTTGATCCATTGTAATTTGGGCAACTTGAGCATTAATTTTGGAATATCTTGTTTAATGTGATGCATTCTTTTCTTCTTTTTCAAATGCCCCTTTTTTCCACAGGCATAGCACTTTAAATGCCCTTTTGGTTTCGGTTTTGGCTTTGTAGCTGAAGCAAAATTAGCAACAACTCGCTGGCTTTCTGTATTGCTATCTTTTCGACGATCAGCCCCATTAAGCAACAGAGCTTTCACATTAATAAAGCTTAAACTGTCCTCTCCAGCGACATTCAACGAAGCAATCAGAAATTTATATCTTTGAAAAACTAGCTGGCTAGAAGTGTTATTGCTAAGTCCTTATCATCCAAAAACTCTCCTAACTCGTTCTTTTCGTTGTGGAATTCACACAACTTTCTAATATGGATATGTATATCACCACCATACTGAAACTCCAATTGATAATATTACTTTTGAAGACGTATTCTTTGCATAAGAGAAACACGTTGGAACTGATCCTTTATGACTTTCAATGCCTCCTTAGCGTCTTTCACAGTGTCTATGTGTACTTGAAGCTCTTACTTCAAACTTGCTCCAAAAAAATACAATGCCCTTTGGTTTCCTTTCCGCAATTTTGAAACTATATTTGCATCTATGTTTTCGCCACTTGGCTTGACCTCTGAGCCTTCCACAAATCCCCACAAATCATCACCGATGAGGAACCATCTTATATTTCATTTTCATTTCAAAAATCTTTATACACGAATTCCCTATCAGCTATAATACAAATAAAATAAACTACTTCTATTACAATTACTTCTTTAATATATATTAAATAAAGATGTTGCTGTTCTATCTAGGGATCGTGTTTTGTTTAGGGAATTTATTAACTTTGCAGGAATCCTTTCAAGTTTCTTTTAAACATGGAAATTGTGGGGCTCATTCTGATGTTTCTTGGAATCTCATTCCATGTTTTGGCCCCAGAGTGAAAGAAACTTCCCTTTGAGAATTCCAAATTTTGCCTTGGGATGTCAATATCAAGCTGATTCCTTGTCGAATACCTGGATATCTCTGATCTAGTAATAAATTTACCTTTAAGGCTGCCAGGGCAAAGACCATTCATCATTTTGTACGTCATTATTGCCCTGTCATATTTAATTAGATTCGAAACTGAAAACCATTTACAATCCACCCGTTCTCAAATTTAGCTCTTTCAATTAATGTTTGAGCCTTGTCTTGAAGACGCTGAAGATGTTCAAGCTTTGTAGCGGACAGACTTTCCCATAATTCATCACCGTATCTTAGATGGCTCTCGAAAAGTACCCTGTAAACCTGGTCCAATTTCGACTGTGGGAGTATGTTTTTAAGTTTCCTCAACGAAGAAAGACCACTTTTAAGATTACACTTGAGCCTCTTGTACTGCTTGTTCCAAGATAGGTTTTCATCGATAGTGACCCCAAGATATTTTACTTCATGGGCTCATTGGATTTTTTCTCCATTTATTTCCACGTTTATCTTCCCCTGGATATGGTTAATTCGTCTTTTATGACCAATGACCATATATTCAGTTTTATTGGTGTTCAGACTAAGCTTATTTTGCCGCATCCACTCTGCAATGCTCTTACCCTCAGTTTTTAAGACATTGCACAGTTCCTCAATATCTTTTGCAGAGCATATTATGCTAGTGTCGTCTGCATACATATTTGTTGAGCTTCTCTCTACGCATCGCTCATCCATTTATTATAATTAGAGTTCTAAGTGCTTGGCCTTTCGAATTCGACATCTTGATCAACACAAAGTAGCAATCAAAATATCAATCCAATTTGCACAGCGTTTGGTAATCGCTCTGGGCCCATAACCTGTCAAAAATACTTTCAACAACCATGTGCAGGTTAGGCCATACATCACTTTTAAGAAACGAAAACAACAACAACATTTAAGAGAGCTGATACTGGTCAATCAATTGTTCAGTTTTTCTTATTGAATTCTAACAAATACATGGTATCAATATAAAATTCAACTGCCAATCAAGAAGTGAAGCAAATTGTATATCTAAAGCAGGCAGCTCTCTCAATAACTATAAAAAACGAGGGACAGCACCCTTTGTTTTCAAAGGTGGCTTATGTACATTTGAGGTCATTATTTAAGATTGCAATTAAGACTTTTTTCTATATTAAGTTAGGTAGACAACGTCTGCTCATTGGAACTTGTTGTCATGTTTTCATATATAACTGAAGAAGTATTGCAGCCAAGACGGAGTCTTAAGATTTTATTTTGTTACAGGTGTCCGAAGTTCTGAGCAAAGAAAAATGTCGTTTATCAGTAAGTGGTTGGTTCTATGGCGAAAGTATCCCAAGACCGCCTACATATATTCAAGAAAGAAAGCTTCCAGAAGTTGGGAAAAAATTAGAGGTAAAGATTGTGGCTTAGTGTCCAAAAACACAGTACAGAATTTATTAACGAAATGTCGTATAGTAAATAGTAGAATATGAGAAGGTCGGCTCTACAGAAACGAATTTTGCCAGTCAAAAGCTGTCAATTTTTGTTCAAAAGGTGCCAGAAAGAGAAATCTCTAGATGTTTGATCGAGAAGGAGATTTTCACAGAAACTTTTAAAGTTGGTTGTTTTTATTCTTTTACAATCCTTTTAATTCTGTGACCACTTTTACCCAGCCTTTTTTCAGCTCAGATTATCCTGGAGTCAGCTGCTCTGATTCTATCTCTCCACCTTCGTACTGCTTTTACCTTTTTGCATTTCATACTTTATTGTCAAACTTTGGTCAGTGTCTGGCACTTAATAGTTTATAATAAAACCAACAAACTTCTTTTCCATCGCCACGTCCACATAAACAAATTAAACCATGGGAAATTATCATAAAAAGAAAGCTTGCAGATATCCCCTAGAACCCACCTTTGGACAAACTCGATGGTGTGAACAGTTTAGATGCATTGTCTGGCAATCCTTAATTACTTGTAATATGATATTCACAACAGCTTTCACGAGTTCAGCAAAAAATTCTAACCACGGTGGCAGCTTTTACTCCACCCCTCCCTTAGTCATAAAAGGGTTGCCATAAAATGTTTTGGCAAAACCCGCAAAATTACTTTGATTTTTGGGGTGCATTCTCGACGAAATTTCTCAGCCCTAAATATTTAGCCGTCCGTCTCAGGAAAGTACCCTCAAAAAAGGAACCTATTTTTTTAAAAAATTGGGCTATATTTGGGTCTTTTCAAAGTGCATATGGTCATATCATGCTTTTAAAGGGGTATATCCATGCATGAATGGGAGAAAAGCGAAATATCTTCAGTTCTTTCTCTCAAATTCATAGTTCCTTACAAATAAAGAGAAGAGATACGAATTACCCTTCGACAACGTACAAGAGTTCATATTGATAACTGTTAGATTTCTTAATCCAAAATGGTACTTCAATAAAAGACACGTTTCGTATTATTGATAAAGCTCGATCGTCATTCCATCTAGCAGTTCTGGAATCTATCTACATTAGCACCAAAAAACCGCTATTGTGTAGACAAAAGGAGCTCGTTTTCACCTTAGGACTCCTCAACAGTCATGTGCTCGCGTTTCTGATTGCCCTATTTCGATCCACAATTGGGTATATATATTTCCAAGCGTAGATTTATCGATCTATGTTCTGATGTCTTAAACTCTGAAGAGTGTCAGACGAAGAGCTTTAGTTTACTAAATGTTTGCTTTTCTCAAAGCCATTTTCAGGTTCTTCTTTGCTGGAACTCGCTGTAGCATAATGGAATCGACCATCAAGTTGCTGCAATCTCAAATTCTTTTGAAACAAAACATATATCTAAAAAATGTCATTAAAATCTTAAAAATCTTTCAAACGATCCTGAGATCTTGAAAAGTCATGATATTTCAAGATCTTTTGCAATGACTTAAAGAATTGCCATGGCCTTTGTATTATAACAAATTCTGCAGTGACCCCCTTTTAACGATAGGCAGGATTCTAAACTTGAAAAAATGTTTGAGATAATGCAATTATCTTTTTTCCCTTTTTTTAGGAAGAGTTAAAATATCACAAAAAATCTAGATGCACAATTCTCGTACGAAATATTATCATTTTTCTGACTTTGATAGTTATTCTTTTATTCCTATGAATAATCTTTATTTTCAGCAAGTTGTTCAGTGTTTGCACACTTTTTTCAGGATGAAATTTTACTGAAATGGATAAACCCGATGTACTTGGATTCCGAGATTGTTGACGCAATACAAAATCAACTTGAGGAGAATTCTGAAATTCAGCTTGATGACTTTCTTCTGGTGCATTTTTGTCTATGTCTTTTTATCCGTTTGAGAATAGTTTTGTCTATGTTTTTATTTATTCTTCAATGAAGAGGTCGTAAATAGAACTCTCCTAAACATCTGCTTCTTGAAGAGATCCTCCGTGGGAAATTACCTTGCAGATTCTCACTTATAACAGTTTTATTCACTATAAAGCTCCCAGCTTTGATTAATCTCCCCTCTCAAATAGGAAACAACCTCCGAAGAACCTCGGAAAAAACACCTCGCCTCTTGAGCAAACATTCACCTCTAAACTACTCTAGCGACCTTGTCCACTCTCCATTATGCCCTAATTTTCTATTGAATTTCTTAAATGGAAATTATAACTTACTGGTGCTTGTTGGAAGGCTTATAGTACATAAGTCAAAGAATAAATTGTTTAAAGTACTTTATAATCTAAGATAGAATAGAGCAATAACTGTCGCAGGGCTTAATTTGCCCAAGTATTGATTCTTAATTTGTTGGGCCCTTGCACAATGTGTCGACAGACTCAAAAATAATACTAGCAGCTATTTATTTTGAATTTAAAAAGTAGAAAAAAACAATGCAATCATTAAAGATATACTGAAGAAAGCTACTTTGCATTTTGCAAGTATTTTGCAATCCAGTTTGTGTCATTTTTTGCATCGATTATTTTAGGAGGAGAGGTACATGGAAGTCTTAAGAGAATTGGAAAGTTCAGAAAACGAATGGAAAATGAACGGGCCAGCCAACAAAAGGTAAATTCTACATATGTTAAAGTAGCTAAATAGAATGTCAGTAGATGTCAGTTGATTTCCTACCAAGGCTAAGAATGGAGCATTTGGCCTCTGGCCGGACAGATCGCTTTATAATAGTTGAACAGCTCTTATGGAAAGCCTAACAGTAGATTTTATTACTGATATTTACTGAGCAGGAAGAAATTTAAGCAATGCACGTCCACGCCAACACTTGCCTGAAAACTACAAGGCAATTTACCGGTGCAAACAGTGACGAGAAGTGATTACCGGTGTTTTTTTTATGAATCTTTATTATGAAAAATTCAATTTATAATGCTTACGTCAAAATTTGTTCAAGGCTTTGAACAAATCTTGTTTACTTAAGAGTTTAATTGTAATTGACCTTATTCTAATACAAGCATTTTAGTTTTGTTGTGCTTAATAAAACAGTTGAAGGAAATAAGGCTGTTTAAGAACTGCTTTTTGGTCTAATAACAGCATAAAAAATGTTTTTTGCCTAAGAAATGCAAGGCAATTAATTAGTTTTGCGTCATTCGAAGAATGACAAGCTAATTATCAGTAAATGTTTAATATTGTTTATAAAGACTTCGCCAATCAATATAGGTAACTTCATATCACATTTGGGTTCTTTTCAAACGATTAAAGGAGTGTACGGAAGCGCAAATCGGCATTTTTTAAAACAAATGAATCGGATAAATAATAATTAACAATATCTCTGTTAATAAGATCTCAAACTCAGAAACATGAACAATTTAATGAATTTTGCAGAAATAAAATTTGAAAATTTGCTTTCAATAACATGTGTGGAACAACTAATACATGTTAAAAATAGATTCTCGTTGACTTTGTTATCTGTAATTTGACGAAAGTACCATCGGGAATTTTGTACTTCACACATCTATTAATTGTGACAAGGAGCCTCATGTATGCTTAGCAGAATTTATGATTTAGTTTTTGGTACATTATGTAGCATTTTTAGTAGGAATCTATTCTCTTATCATTAACGTGCCGTGTTTTATTTATAGCCGAAATGAATATGAGAAACATAACTTTTTCAATTTCAGTATTCTTCCCAATCTAAATTTCATCTAGCTTTCACTCTGGTTTTCGATCTTACAGTTGTAATGCAATGATAAATGTCAAAATAATATTTCTAGGAATAGTAACATTGAATTTTTTGTTCTTTAGGATTAAGGGGATGCACTGTGCTGTAGCTTGTCTTTATCAAAGTAATTTTTATGAGAAATGTAAGATTTCGCTCGTAAGAAATTTTCACCTTTGAATTCTGCAAAAAAAACAAACTGAAATTGCTGTTCTAACATTTTGTTATATATAGATGATATAATTCTCTGAAATGTGTTACATCTAATAACTGCTGTTTAAGCTTCGAGATTTACCTGATCTGAAGATATGGATGGAGCTCTCAGTATCTCTCGAGCGTATTTTGTCTCAGATAAAGCCAAAAGTTGTTGATGCTATAGCTGTTACGGTGTGACGCAGGAACAGACGCTTCCCAAACTTTATGTCATCAAAGATGCAACGGCATGGGTATTGGGATAATTTTACAAAGTTAAATGGCAATTTCTTATTAATTTCTCTGCCTTGTTTTCAGGAAGTATGAAACTATAGAATATGACGATAAGCTCTCTCCAAATCTGAAATCGCTTGTCGACCTTATGCATTCCGAGCCAATGTTTAAGCTGTTGACAAAACTTACTGGTCTAAATCTAGCAGTCCTGGATGCTGATAACAACAAAGAATCTGTGTCAGGGACGTCATCCAAAGCTGACCAGGAAAAAGCCTCCGCTCCCTCGTGTTGCAGTGAAGTGCGTCGTTGGGCACGTGGCTCATACACTTTGATGCACGATTCAGATCCTGCGCTTAAGGAATTCGCTTTGGACGCCATGTTGTTTTTTAGATGCGATAGTGAGTGCTAAGCAAAGTTTACAGTGATGTGTTTTCATGTATTCTTTAAACTTCATTGGCCGTCGACACATTTTTTAGTACATAATAACATAATAAATTTACATAATAACGCGCACTTGTAAGTTTTTGAAGGTGAACTTTATTAATTATACTATATTATTACCGTTGAATTAATTATACACTTCTTTACATTATAATTTCCATTTAGGAAATTTAATAGTAAAATATTTTAGAAATTTGTGTCGAAATTCGCTGCAACTTTAAATTGTCATGTTGTATACACAAAAGAGTGTACAACTCTGTCTATACGGCTCAATGCACTATTCGACAGTCCGGTTAAACAGTAATTTTCATTATGTTGGAAATTTCCATTATTATATTCATATATATTTTCTAGACTGGGATCCCTCCTTTGGTGGCTTCACTTCATACATTGCTGATAGCGAGGATGAGGAGGTAATTGGTTAATTTGATTTCTGTGCTTAGATATAATTTATATTATTATGCATGCTGTCATTAATTTCAACATTCATATCTGATTAACAAACTCACCCAGCCGATTGCATCATTTAACTTGCATCATTTTGACTTGCAGCCGCTAACTCACTCACGTGTTTCACGATTAACGAAAGAAGACATGCAGAAATAAATTTTCAAAGACCTATAGAATCCAGTTTCTCTGATATACTGAACAGAAATGTTGCGGTCATTAACACTTTGATATTGCGAAGGACATATCGACCATATCGACCTAAATGTTTTATCATATTTTATGCTTATCTGAATGGCAACTTATAGAATTAGGCTCAGTCTTAATAAGAGGGTCCAAGTAGGCCGAGAAATCTCGCAGACTGTTATCTTATTTTCATTCAATGTTGCAAACATGGCGACAGCCGAGTCTTACAGTAGAATGTATATTCATAAGCCTATCTCATAATAACATATTTCAACTTGTCGCAAAAAGAGAGTTATAGCAAATTAAAGACTGAAATATCTGTAACATGGGTTATGCTCTCGTACTATCTGATCTATTTATTCAACTTCCAATCCACTTTCTTTTTATAGTCACGCAATATAAATCTCCATCGAACGTCATCCTGCCATGAAAGCTTCACTAGGTCTGCCTATGATCGATGTAGACTCAAGTTTCATTTTTATGTTCTTCGTGGCTTTTCGTGGTCATCATTATCATGGGTTTTCCATTGTTTTTTTTGCAGCTGCTCACTATTTGCCCAACTTCCAACTGCCTCACTTTGGTTTACCGTGATAAAGAGACTGTACGCTTTGTTAAGCACATAAATGCTTCATGTAAAGATGCTTGGGATGAGCAGAAAGTTGAAGTAAACGATTTTTTTGGTTTTTACGATTTATCAACAGTTTATTATGAATGATTGAAGCTTATTATCGATGATTTTTTTGTAGATTTCTTTCTGTATTTGTAGTGGGCGTTTGGACATACTCCACGAGTTGCAATTTTGCTATTGATTTGTCTTGAAAGACGTCAAATCTGTTGTAGCCTTCTCTGTAAAGTGTGGTAATACTGAAACAGAGGCTCTTGGATCAAGTCCTGTGGTCAGTAACTACTTCTATTTTCTCACGGATATTGTTTGTTAGATACCTTTGCTGTTTGATATATCCCTGACAAAGCCGACTGTGCAGTCCTAAAGGAATACTGCTGCTTGCGTGATGTGTGAGGCACGATACTCGCCTTGATTTTCACGAAAAAGCCGCGCAACTCACGGTGCATTTTGGCGTAGACTAACGGGTTAATGGCGCTGCCCAGGAACAGAATCAAGTTGGATAGCATGCGGGCCAAGTTGGTCTTCCCTGACTGATCGCTTACCGGGTACACCAATCCGACGACTATTGCTGGTAATGTAGTTGCAAAAAACAGTATCGTGATTACGATAAACATTCTGATGATCCGTTTGTTTTCTGCGTTTCGTCTCTTCATTGTTTCATTCTGAGAGTGCTTCAGATTGCTCCTCCGCAGTCGGTTAATGCATATGCCATACATGACACCTACTACCACCAAAGGAACGAGCCAGGCTGCACAGACCAGAATGCCTGAGTAAAGGTCATAAACAAAGCCATGCATACCCAAGTCTTCGTTAAACTGAAACGTGTAGCTTGCCAGGAAAGCGACCAGCCATATAAGCAAAGATACGATCATTCTTCTTTTGTCTTTAATTCTGTGACTTGCAAATGGCCTAACTATTGCCCTAAAAACAAAAAACGGTTAGTAGGCAGAGGCAAAAAGAAAATCCGTGACGGTAATTCATGCTACTAATTTTATTGCATTTTATAACGTTCCTTATAAGAAAACTTACTATCTTCTTTGCCTTTATGATTCTTTTTAAAGAAATTCTTTAGCAACATTAACGATTATAACTACTTATGTGTTTGCTATATATATTATTCGAATAATAAGATACAGAAATAATAAGGTTGTTTATTGTTAGAAATGGGGGCCAGTCTTTCTTTTTTTTCTTTGCTGCTATTTAGAATTTGAATGAGAAATCGCCATTCCCGACATAATTTTGTGGATTTTTTCAAATTGACAGTTTCCATAAGGGCTTGTTCTTTTTTCAATAAGGGCTGGTTTTGTCTTGTCGTTAAAATGTGTCTGCTGAATAGCCTGGTTGAAAGAGTCGTTGAATTTTTCATAATATCCTATGGTTCCAATTTTGATATCATTATCAATTCCATAGTACTTTTCCTTTGCTTCAGATTTCGTGAATGTGAAATGTCGTTGGATGGCTTATATTGTTTGCAATATGGCCATGCTGCAAATGCTCTTCTTCGTTCCTTCTGAGTGCGTCTAATCTAAGAAGTTCATTCACCAAGCAGACAGTATCTAGTGGCGAATTCGTAGCGTTTGTTTGGTGAAGAACATTGAATAGCATCATTTTGTTGCATGCCTTAACTACTGTTAACAATTTTTATTACCACTATCCTAACCAGTATATTGCTTTCTTTCTGTGCTCATCTTATATCTTAGAGAAGGAAAAAGGAGTAAATTTTATGAACTGTGGGACAATGTCACAAATACCAAAAGCGAGACGTTTGTCACAAATACCCATATTTATGTGTTACCAGATTATTGGCTACATCTTTTGATCATTAGGTCGCACCTACCTTATTTCTTATTCATATTTCATTTATCTCGATGTTTATATATAATGAAAAACCTACTTCGGACAAGGCTAATTTGAATAGTTTGAGCAGTCTTACCAGTATCGATCAACGGATATAGCAGCTAGTGTCCACGACGAAATGGCCATAATAGCACCAATGATAAGAAGAATTACGTAGGTGCTGGTTTGATCAAACTCCCACTTGGTATACGGACATGTAAAGGAGATAATACTTTCTAGAGGACCAGCAACACAAGCAACCAGGTCAGCAAGAGACAGGGATATAAGAAAAATGTCCGTTTTTGTACGGCGACCCTTTTGACCTACAAAAGAGACTAATGTTAGGATAAACACGCTTTTCAGGGAAATAGTCCTAGCGGCAAGCGGACTTTTGTTGTCATGTAATGGTTCATCTCAAAATGCTCAGGCACCGCGGAGAAGAGGGGGCTGGGAGGCTATAACCCACCCCCCCCCTTCCTCCCGCCAATTTTTGCCGAAAATGCAAAAAATCCCCAACGAATCCCCGGTCAAGCAAAATCTTATTCGGTTTAAGATTTTCGCATTCTAGACTTTCTTTCGCCTTACATTTCTCGACGGCTCAACCATTTTTCTTTTGAAATCTAAATCGTTGAGAATTTTAAGGGCCGAGTTAAAGAGTTATTATTGATGCACATACCAAAAAACAAGCCAACAGCGCCATTTGCAAGCGCCCCGAAAAGAAGCACCAGAGAGCAAACTGTAATGACCGAAATCTGTCCAATGCCAGAAATGCTCCCCGAACTGCATACGCCGACCACGCAAGGAGCTTTGTAATTATCGTGGATCTTTTGGTATGTTGCATTCAGAATGCATGGATAGTCTTCGTGTTTCAACGGAGATTGGCCAATCCTTTTGCAAGAATGACTGATGATTTCTAGCAAGTTCTGCTCTAAATTTCCAACGTAACACTCATGGAAAGTGCTATTGTATAGTAAAACGAATTTGTACATAATTGTCCTTTAGTCTTGTATTATACCATGTAAATTTACGAATATGACAACAAATTTGATGGTATTGGCCCTGCAAGTGTTACTCTTTGATCCAAGACATGATACCCCCAAGAGAGCTCAAATGGTACCAGCAGTATCTAACTATTTTCCTTCTGATATCTAAGGGCAGCTTCTGAATCTAAGTGTTCTAGTCAAAGGCTTGGTGAGGTCGAAGTTTGTGATGTCATTAGTGGCAGCCTTCCCATACAGTTAATCAATTACAAACGCACGGATGTATCTGCTTCCAACTTCCGACTATCGTCTTTCGCTACTCGTATTGAACCTTTGGCGAGATGATACAATCCACAAGCAGCTATAATGAAGCATGCATTTAAACTAAATGGAAGTAAAGTGCAAAGGCAATTTGTCGAGTGTCATTGTATTTCAACCTAGTAGCAAGATATACACCTTCATTGAATGGGAAGCAGCTGTTTAATTAGCGGCATATTTGAATAACCAATTCATCGGTTACGTTCTTCTTATTGTCTTTGTTTTTGCTTTGATTAAAGGGGAATACTTTAATAAACTGAATTGTAAATTTATCGTAAAAAAACTCCGTGAATTAAGCCCGGATGTCAATAGCTTTTATATGCAAATATAGCATTTTTGCCTTCAATGCGGAAATTTATTCGATGAAGAATAGAACGTGATATTTTGAATGAAGTATTTGCTTTTTACCGCTCGCTTTGCGTAGATGTAGCTCACCAAACTTGCAATTTACCGACAACAAATTCGTTCAATTAACTTGTTGTTCCTTATTTAAAACACTTGTGAATTGAATCAGTGGTGTCATCTTCATTTCAGTGATGACTTTACAATAGCAAAGAATTTCGCAAAGAAGAATAACTACCGCAGAAAAATTGCTAAAGAAAGAAGTATTTGCATATCATCGGAAAGATTCTCACGAATCACGCGATTTACGCTTTTAATTATTTCTTATGTTTTAGTGGAAAAGCAGAATATGATGTTTCTAGAGTTATCCTGAAGGTTGGGAACTTAAAATTGCAAAGGAAAAATGTTTTGGCTTTTGACAAATGAGCTTGGTATTTCACTTAACATGCAACCCAGAGATGTTCACTATGTTCAGAGCAAGGTTGTCCTCTGAAGGATTCTGCCTGCCACAACAGCACAAAACGATGTCAGTGATGACAGGGTCCCTTTCTACCACTTTAAATGTGATATGTTACAAAGTTAGGACTCTGTAAAGTGGAACTAAGATCAGGCTTATTTGTTGAAAGCAATACCAACATAAAGTGCCTAAAGCGATTTGCAGGGCCTGTTAAGTATGCATACCCTTATATGCATAACCCATAGATAACGGGCGTTATATGCATAACCCGGGGCGTTAATTAAATTGTTTAGTTTTTTGGGTGGGCATTAATTGGAAAAGGGCGTTTATTAGGAAGTGGGCGTTAATTCAAAAATTCCGGAAAGCAAATTTGTGTACCTTATCCTCTGAATTTCTTCAAAGAATCTCAGAAAAGTTATACAACGGAGAAAATAGAACAACGGAGAAACAACCACACACCAATTTATCAAACATTTTTATAGCAAAATAAATGAATACCAAATAATTCTCACGATGGTAGTACTAATCTATACAAAGTTCTTTATCACTTTAACGGTCAGAGTCGATCAAATTTTGTGGATCATTAACGCCGTCTTTGGTGCGTACATTGGCGTTAAATAGAAAGGGTGCGTTAAAAAGGAAGTGGGCCTTAATCAACTTCTTTAGCTTTTAAGGTAGGCGTTTATTGGTAAGCGTTGTTATGAAGGAAGAGGACGTTAAATAGATCAAATACGGTATATGTATTGTGTTCAAGTGCGGTATAGAAGCTGGAATACCCGTGCTACTAGGCAGTTCAATTGGCAATATGCATGCTCATACCTATGTAATCTCGCCAAAACGCAATTCCAATTACAGTGTCACTGGCATAGATACAGGGGGGTCAGTGGGGGGGGGGGCAAAAGAACCCTTGTAAAGCTTAACTGCTATTGTGTCAGAAATAATTAAGTCTTGTCGGAACTTGAACATGGTTATCTATTTTACAATTTGATTATTACATTTTGATATGAAAGATTTCAAACTAGATAAACACAAGAATATCTGAATGTAACAAAATATTTTTCTTTTCCAGTTCTGATGTCGCCATGTTATATTCATATTATTGAAAAATAAAAATGCTTATTCCTCCTATGAATTTTCCCATCAACAGGAGTGAACAGCATGGAAATCTGGAATGCGATACTTACACTAGTTGCAGTGTTTTAACTTTAATATCCTCCTCTCCACCCTCCAACCCCCCCTCCCCGCCCCCCTATGAATTCAATCTCCTGAATTATCCACTGGAAGGTCGTCACCGGTTATGAACATCAGACAGCACTTCAACACCTTCTGTAGACAACTGACGTCATGTGTGGTGTTCCACAGGGCTTGTTTCCTGGTCCCCTGCTATTCGTAATCTATATCAATGATCTCTCTTTAACTCTGTAAAATTGTAACACCATCATGTTTGCAGATGACACCCTTTTTTACTATGCATAAAAATTTTGATAATCTCGTGCCATACCGTACAACTTAACATGTATCTTCACGAGAAAGCAATACTTTCAAATTAGATTACACTGGTTGTAATTCACACCAACTTTACTTAGACTACTTCTGTATTGTGAGATCTTACTTATTTAAAGGCGATCCCAAGAATCATGTCTTCCTCAAATTTATCGAAATTCATCCTCGAATGTTTGAAGAAATACTCTCTTTAACTTTCTTTAACTTTTCAAAGCTGATTACGATATATTTTACATTTTATTGCATATAATCTTTTAACTAAAACTTCTTGTGATCCTATAGTGTCTCTCTTTTCAAATGTCCGCTTGCGAGGAAAAGAATGAAAATTTCTTGCCTATTTTTCTAAATCATTCGTGTTCTTCCAATGCTACAGAAATCTAAAGGGTGGATATCAACCACGCGACACAATTCGCGCGGTAAATAGGTCCCATGGCTCGATCTGCTGGACTGGAAGCCGATCTTTCGTAAACATAAACTCGGACACGTTACATTCTAGAGGTTGGCTTAGTATTTTTTCCATATGCATCAGGAATGTGTCCTCGCTGTCTGTCTTCGTAGAATGTAGCAGAATTCGTAGCTTCAACCTACCGTGCGTTATTTGTTTTGAACTAACTCTATGGCTCTTTAGACAACCACATTTTAGTTGTTGATAAAGCGCATTTAAGCGCAGAGTACAATCCGCCCAAGCAAATTTTGGTGTAGGTAGGGCTTTCTTCGACAACCCATCCCATTTTAGTTATGAACCGTCTTGAAGTTGCTAACTGGAGCGCAGGCTACCGTAAAACCTGAGCGAATTGAAGAAAGAAAATATCATTTAGAAAATACAAAATGCTTATACTCAGACCATTCAACGTTGCATCTTTCTTATTTAATGATAATCTATTTCTATCAGCGCAAGAAAGTTGTTATATTCCTTAAATTGACATGAAAAAGAAGAAGAATACTTCTTTTCGCTTTCGAATCACAACCGTAAACAATAGATCACGAATACAAAGAATACAAACAAAAGGCCTTCGCTGCACAGGCAGTCTATGATCAGTTTATACATGATATATATACACTTTGTTACATCACATTGAGTGATGTTTTCTGTAAAATATGTTTGATGGAGCGGATTGTCCAAAACATACAGGCGGTCTACGTGCTCGTTTCGGCCAAGGATTACCCCTTTTTCTGATTCCTGTTCGTTCCTGTGTCCGCGCTTGTAGTAGCTTAAGAATGACATAGAAATAACTTTAGGCTCAGAATCGCAAACTTGTAAGAATATAAAGGCTAAGCAAAAGTTTAGGTATTCTTAAAAAAGTGTTTATTTGAAAGTTATATTTTCTTACAACTTGCTTATGAGCCCCTTTAAGACTTTGTCATACCCTGCCAAATAGCACTGCTGCCAATAAACTTTTTCTGAATATTTCTTCATATGTTTTCATAAGCAGTGCTTGAATGTTCCTAGAAAAAATGATGTAGCCTAACGATGTCATTTATCTTCCTGAAAAGCTTGCCTTAGTTCTTTGTTTGTTTTTATGCATCACAAGAGACGCACTATTGTCACATAATTAATCGCTTTAATTAACTATACAAACAATTCTTCATATAATAAACTTCTCAAATATTTTTCACATTTGACCCACTGTCTACCCGAATATTGACGGTCTTATGGCCGTCTTTAGAAAATCAGCTTAGAGCGTCCTTATATATTTTTCCTAGCCTTTAGTTTGTCGTTTTAAAAGCTGCATCACCTGTTTTTTCTTTATTTATTATTCTTATTTTCTTGATGTTGTTTCATGCATTCAGGGGTACTGTCTTTTCAACTCAATCTAGTGATCAATCTTTATGGATCAACTTTTGGAAATCGTCTAGAATCTTTGATAGTAATACTACCAACTATTCCTTTGTATGGATGAAGAAAAAGGTCACAATAGCAAACAGCTCGACGGACTACGATCGATGGAATTCTTGCGATGAAAAGTCGATAGAATCGCATCAAGGAAATCCTGATAAAGAGTTATGCTCAAAACGTCGTACCGAATATTCATATCTTGTACAAAGTCGTTATTTTATTGCAACTAATTTTGTTCATTTTCGACGCACAACACGCAGAACTTCATTGATTATCAAATAAAGAGCCCTGCAACAAACTGCAAACAAACAACAATATACACATGTAGATTAATGGCTAATATTTCTCCTCGACATACGGGGCTTCAGCAAAGAAAAACCATTCCTTTGTTTGCCATTTGAGTAAGTCATTTAAGGATACACTACCGTAAATCTAAACCCTACCTAAAAAACCATTTTTGGAAATAGGTTTTAACCATTTATTTACAGAAAAAATCCCATGGGGGCTTATTCAAGGGAAGCATAAATGAATAGTGATATCTTATTTCAAGAAAGCCCCCTGAAGGCAATAACTTTACAGTATTACTTTCTTTGACTGGAGACCAAAAACCAAAATGCGACTTTTGTGATGATTAAAAATCACAATTTTTGTTAGATCTTCACACTTTTTGTAATTTTACAATTTATTTCATTGAGGAAATTATGTCTTTTTTGAGTCGATCTTTGAGGAAAGTACTAAACTTTGAGATAAGCACCCCCCCCCTTCTCGAATAAGCCCCCACCCGAAATTTGATTTTTGCAAATAAGCCCCAGGGGCTTATTCAAGAATTTATGATATTTCAACGCTAACTGTGGTTTGTGCCGAGGCATTTTGTCTCCGATTGTCTCGAATTCCAATCACTACACGCGTCTTCAGGTTACCAAAAGTTACTTGCCAGAAATGATTTTTCAATACTTATTTCTGAGATCTTACTTAAAATTTTACATCACATGCCGCACTAAAAGTTTGCTACAATGGTTGAAGGAGGGGATGGGGGCAGTTGGGTTGTCCTTTGCTTCTATGCACAATCCCAATAATTCTAATCTTTCTTTGTTACTGCTTATTAATATTTTCTATATTTTTATCTTCTAAAATTTTTAAAAAATATTAATATAAACAAAGTGGTTGTTATTATGACAAGCGAGTGTAAACATTTTTCATCGTTTTGCATTTACCGAGAAGATTGCGTTTAGCGTGCTTATAGCCAAAGGACAGGTGATCTTGCCCACCAATTATTTTAAGCTCTCTTTTCTTTATATTTAAACAGTTTCAACAGTTAGTTAATTAATTCCTTGTAAGGTGGATTTGCGTATTGTTTTTCTGGTCAAAGAGTATAAAAGGTGAAATACAAATGAAAAGACTAGTTGAATTTTGATTTCCAATCTTGGTGCGGGAAAATAAGAAGAGAAAAGATGGAGTTTTCTAACAATTCTCTATTAATGGAGAAGAATGTGACTGGGACTTTGATCACAAGTTCCAACATCAATGCAACTGTTTCGTGTCAGGTGACACAATATGACGAGAATGAGAAAATCATAATGCGAGTTTACTTGGTTATTGTGTTTGTATTTGCAGCCCTTGGGAATGCCGTCACTTGCTGCATTTTAGGTATGAAAACACTATTTGCTCCAAAGACGTTAGGTTTTACCTGAAAGCTTCAAATACAGGATTTGCACTCGATCAATTGCACAACATTAGATAACTCGATGTTAACAAATAAGTTATTTTTTTATTAATTATCTGTAGTACCATTTTGAATATGACTTAACACATCTGAAACTGTACTGGCCAAAATTCTTACTTTTTCTGTTATCCTGTGCCTTCTCTCTCCCACTTATAAGCTGACCGTTGCCCAGAATATTTTAAAGGTTCTTGAAACCCTTATAAATCCCATCTTTTAAATTGAACCATATTTTTTCGTAGGAAAAAAGAAGTTTCAACGTGGTGGCGATGTCTTTGTGCTGTCTCTGGCTCTGTCCGACCTGATTTACACAATAAGCTTCCCGTTTATTTTCTTTCTACGAATGTCTGGTATACAAATCCAGCACACAGTTTACACGGCATCAAAGATCTTCATTTATGGCAGCATGGTAGTCACAACATACACACATGCTGTTATTTCCTGTGATCGATTCTGGTGAGTCGCATATCAACATACACTTTAACTTGCAATGACCTCAATAAGTCACTGATTTAATTGTATAGAATTTCTCATTTGCAAACATTTTTGTTGATAGAATTCCGAAAGAAAAAAGCGATGTTGCCCTCGAGTTGTAGGCACCTACGGCTCAGATAGATGGTACCAGACCTGTCATTTTTTCCGAAATCGATAAGCAAATAGAAAACTTTAGCCACTGCACCATTATCTGTTCACATTTACCCATTTCAACGAGGAACAATTTCAAATCCTCTCCCTGCAGTTTGCTCGTAGTTTGCTCGTAGAACAATCTAAAATTTTTGAAGAATTTACTTCGACATCGTGCCTGAAATAAAATCGTTTGTTGAATAGGTATTGAAAATATTGTTTAGTGAGTGAGTACCGATTGCTTTGACTGCTTGTGTTGTAAGTAATTGATTCAAGAAGATAGCGAGATTTTTGCATTGCTTTGTTATCAAATGGCAGATTTTGGCGAGAAATCTCAGAGTTTTACCGTAATTTATTTTCTAGGGCCATTGCGAAGCCTTTTCAAGCAAGAAGAATTACAAAGGGAAAGAAACTTCTTGCCTGTTCCTTGGTTTGGCTGTTTGGGTTTCTCTTTTCACCACTGTTTTTACTTCAGACAGCAGCCCTGACAACCCGTTCCCAAATCGTTCAGCTGGTGAGGTGCTGCATAGGGTGGGTCATGCCATTGGTTATCATGTGTGTCTTCTACATCAGATGTGCCATTGCGCTCTCAGCACGAAACGTACCATCAAACTCGGGAGCCAACAAAAGATTCAAGGATGCAAGGAAGATCACAAAGATGTTTTTTGTTATCGTCCTGCTGTATTGTATTCTTACGATGCCCATCGTTATGAGTCTGTTGGTCAGAGCAGTTGATTTCTTGGTGTCCGATTTTGAAGGAATACGCTGTGGAGATTATTCTCTTTTGATGCGTGTGCTAACAAATCTAAGTGTCTTCAACGGATGTGTGAATCCAATAATCTACGCAAGAAATCATCCAGACATAAGGAGGTTTTTCAAAGGCGTTTTTGAAGCTTGCTTCTGTCAACGCCAAACTAATAGCTTGTCATTTCATAAAGGTACAGAGATCAGAAGTTCTTCTTCAAAAGAGTCAAAAATACAAGACGATTAATCAATACCTGTGATATGTAATTACACTCGGTTTCTTTTGCTTTCATTGTAAAATTTACTGGCTGTGATTATAAGCTTGGAAAAAACCAATTTTTAGCTGACTATTCTTTGAACTATAAGTTGACGCCAAAAATAAACAAGGTTTCCTTAGCTGTCTTTAATCTTATCGTATTTTCAATTCTCCAGTTTTTTCTGCATTTGTAAGTAGCTGTTGCAACAATTCCAAAATTACATACCACAGAAACCAGACCTTTTATTGCTCATTTCTCTTCTCTGTATTGGTTTTCGTCCTCATTTAATATCAGAAAACCATTAAATGGTTTGTACATACCTCAAAGTTTGTAATTGAAAACGGAAATTACGTTGCAAAAATTAAACAAAGTTTTTTTATTAACTTCGTCAATATTTTTGTGAAAAGTTAATCCAATTCATCTTCCTTTAAGAACTGTGATTGAACTAGACACCTTAAACGTCAGTATCAGCGATATGTGATTTCCTGTGTTAATACACTAGTGCTGCTGCCTGAATTCAGCACTCATATCTCACCTCTATATCACCATAAAAGGAGTTTATTGGATATACAAGTAGCTAAAACTTTGTAATTGATGTATTGGTAGCAATAATTAAGCCTGTATGATTGATGTATGGGTAGCAAAATGGGGAAGCATAATGAAATTTTATTTAATGTTTGGGATCGGCATTTTAGAAATCATTTAAAAACGATAATAATACTTGAAGTTATATTTGAGCAACTGTATAATCTTATATGATAACTGTCATTATAATATGATACTATATGATACAATATTGTAGACAAATGTATTACGGTGTAATGAGCATGTATTTGCAATGAAAAAATGTTAGCTATTTGGCTTTGCTTAGTTGCTGCGTATAACTGCAAAAAAGTTTCCTTGCAGACAGTTGCGCCAAGTCTCGGAGCAAATGGGACTGCCTTTTATAATTTACTGCTTGACACATCCTAATTCAGATGATTGATTGATAATGCTAATTTATTTGACTACAAATAGAAGATAAAATAAGTAGTTCTGAAAATATTGTTGCTGGTTGTCAAAAAGCCACAGTTAGACAATAAAAAATGAATTGATGAATTTGACAATAAATTGGAGGATTTTTTATTCCTTTAGCCTTGTTTGACATAACATTTTATGATGATATTTAATTTGGATTTTTATATACAGTAAATTGAAGAACGGAGCTTCGACATAATTAATTATTTTAAATCAGATTATAGATAAGTATGAAAACAAGCTTCTTAAAGCCTGAAACTTAAATGCATAAGTGATATTACGAAAATTATTGGTGCAGGATGAATTACAAAGTATGCTGTTATTATTTTATGAATAAAAATCTGTGTTCTTTGTCAGGGTAGGAAAATAATTTAATATCTGTTAGTTAGAGAATGAAGCTAGAAATTCTGAATCCGAGTACACGAGAGAAAAGTAAAACCATAGGCTTTGTCTAACTGGAGTCGAGCACTGGGACATTTTGGATGACTTGGTATTTTTCTTGAACTTGATAAAATTTTTTTGCAATTTTGGAAATATTTTCTCCTAAAAACGCTTGCATGAATTCGGTATCGCTCCATTAGCAGCAAATACTTTAAACTTGAACAACAGTTTTGAACTTACTTGAATTTCAATCTATGATAAAGATTTCCAACGAGAACTAAAATTGTTGTTTTTTACATGTTTATATGTCAATTGTTTCATGTTTTTGTGCATCTCTGCAATCTTAGCTGCTCTGACCATTTACATCAATTTTGCATTTACATTCTTGCTGCCTTTATCTGTTAATAAAACAAGTTTTCGTGGCACTTACCTTCGTGGTATGGATAAATTAAACAGTAAAACATAGTTAGGATTGTCTCTGTTTAAATTTGAAGAGTTATTTCTAGCTTTTTGTTTGGTGATAAAAAAGATTTATCTCGATATTTTGAGAGACCGTAACAATCTGCAAATGCTACATTTGATTTTGCTATTTAAACAAGGCAGTGAGCTTTCTCTCAAAAAAACAGTAAATGCTACTAAAAAAATGATAATTATATCTTCCTCTAAAAAATTAAAATTGTCGAAGATGACATTTGAACCAGTTCAGTATAATCCAGTTTAGTTTCCCAATTCAAATTTCTCTGCCTTTTAACAAATGAACTCTGACGATGAAGTGTCATTAAAGCTACATTAAGTAACTAGAGGGTCATTCCATGTCAAATTTTATATAAAAGTCATGAATTGTCACCCACCCTCTCAGATTTCGATGAATTTTACAATATTGATTCAGTCCCAGGGGAAACCACCTCACCCAAAATTTCAGCACAATAGGTTAAGGCGTTCCGGAGATACGGCCAGTCAAAAGTTGTCTCATTTTAGGGCGTGGTCCGCCCAAAATTTGTGCCAGCGATAAATAATAACATTCAAAGTCCTGTGAAAGTTTTTTTTATCACAATATTTACATCAAATTATCAACACAGTACATTCTGATAGTGCAGATTTCAAATATGACCACCAAAACATCAACAAAGCAAAGCTAGTTACTGAAAAAATAGGTTAAAAGTTTATATTAGACTTCTTAGATTTTGTGACTAGCCAATTTGAATGTCATTTTTTGCAAAGTCTGCAAAATGTTTAAGAATTGAAAATAGTACCAGCTGAAAGCTCTTGAATTGGGCTTTTTAACCATATAAATATTATCATTTGTATATTCAGCATTACTGAGATTATTTGAGTTATATAAGAGTAATAAAATTTGCGAAACTTGCCTCACAACCATTCTGTATGCCAAATGGCTGGCAAAATATTTGTCAAAACATATAGTATTTCTTTTAAAAAACATATAGAAGTAGATGCCTAAGATGAAAACTATTACTCATTTACTTCAAGATACCATTTCTTATGTTAAAAAACTTCTGGAATGTTTTGTTAATGTTGTTTAAATCAGCATGTTTTATGCTGTATGTCCTTCCAGTTGCTGTTACTGGAGCATCAATCTTCACCAAGAAATCATTTTCTGGAATGCAACAAACATCAGCTCTAGCTGGCCATACAAAGGTCTGTGCTGGGCCTGAGGGATGAAACAAGTTTACTTTTGCATCTCTTTCTTCTTTGTTTATCACTTCAACCATGCCAATCCACCACTTGTTATCATAAACGCATGCCACAAAATCATTCTCTTGAACATCCTTTAAGGTTAGAGCTTTGTATATTTCTCCTTTGAAATTGTGGGTTCCTGAAAAACTGTCATCTTCTGATGTACGCTTGTAAGCAATCTCATAGGGACCAATTGGTTCAAAGTAATGGAAGCTTCTTGTTCCTGGTACTGTTGATCCCAAGGCAAAACGGTCTTCCAAGCCCTCTCTGACTGACATCATTTCCTCTTTTGTTATAAAAATGAAACTGATGTTATTTATATTTTCACTGCAAAAGAGAAACATATCCTTTGCAGTTAAAATCTGTTGTGAAATTGGTCTTTGTAAACTTGCCCTAGCTGTCAGTCTCTTAACTGCTCCTCCGATGCCATCGCAGGGAGACTTGCCATGGCTTGATGCAAAGAATGTCCAGTTTGCAGATAACCCAAAATCTTGCTGATGGAGTGTCAAGTTCAAGAAATTTTTGTAGTTCTTGTATTAGGAAGGACAACCATCAGAAAAATATTCTAGTTTGCATATTTTTGGCAATTTAGTTTTGATGACCTGTGTTAATTCTTTTTGAATCTGATATACCAAGCTGGTGTCATGTTCCAGATCATCTGATAAAATACAGAAGGAGTTCTGCATCAGTGTCTCATCTTCTTTGAAATATACAACAAGTGGGTGCAAGGTACAGCATGGTTTGCTCCAGTGGTAAGACTGGACCTCATCTTGCACCACAAAACTGTAGTTCTCTGCAAAATTACCTAATGCAATAGCTGTATCCTCTCCAATTTGTTCTTTGCGAATCTTCAAATACCTTGCTTGACATTTTGCCAGATATGAATGTGAAGTCAATCTATCAATGGTTTTTACTACCAGGTCAATGAAACTTTCTAAATCTAGAGTCTGGCTTATAAGTTTTGTACTATCAGTACTCTGGCATTGCTGGAAAGATATTTCCTCGTCTGCACTTGTAAGAGTTTCACTTAGGAAATTTTGAAGATACTGTGTACCTGGGCAATCATCACACCTATGTATCATGCAGGTTTTGCTATCTCGATCACAAACTACCATGTCAATTAAGTCTTTGTAGGTTTTGTCCAGATCTATAGCATCAACAAGCAGAATTGCATTTTGATGTGTGACACACACGCAAACAGAATGAGATCCCTTTGAATCAACAGTGATGCACCATTTTGGACGAAGGGAACAGAACTTTGAGAATCCAATTTTGATGTCAGGCTGTTGACTCACAAAGGTTGCATATAACTCCTTAAGGTTGCACAAAAGAAGGCGTTTTTGTTTGTGAGTGTTATGACTGATGCTCACAAAATCTTTTTTCCCTGGCATAATTCTTGAAAATTCATCATCCTCAAAAAATGAATTTACTACCTCAATTGTTCTGCTGGGAAGCTCTTTGCCCTTCTTTTTTCCTGGGCAAGCTAAGATACCCTACTCTGTTTTAAGTTCACGGGCACGTTTTACAAAATATTCAGATACTTGAAAATAAGAAGATGCCTCCTTTATGCTCCAAGATTCTGGTGTAAGTGTGAGTAGCTGGACTTTCTCACGGGAAGAAACAGTTGACAATTTATCACGAATCTATTCCATCAGTTTATCAAAGTCATTAGCTTTGGTCATTACAATTCGGCTTAAATGGGGTGCCTCTGGCTCCATTATCTTCTCCTTTTGGACTCCAACGGCTGCAGCAAATGATTGCTTGAATGAAGTAACCGTTGCTTCAAACTTTGAGTTGGCATAAGCAAGACGACGATGCTTGGGTACACTGTGCAGCTTTTTTGGTGATTCTCCCAAAACCTCCAAACTTTCATTGATAGCTTCTGTAGATTCAAATCTGCTGAAGGATGATTCAAGGTCAGTTTCACCAAAATCCATTGGTTCTTTATCATAAGATTCAGTCATTACATTATCTTTCTCCAAATGTTCTAACTTTGTTAAACAATTTCGACAAAGCTGCCACCCTGGAACACACACAAACTTTTTTGCTCTTAGCTGTCTAGCCAGTGCAAGGGAAATTTTATGACCACCTTTAACACTTTTTTGTGATTCTTGAGTAAATTGCAGCATTTTGTAAATCTCCTTTCAAAGTCTGCTCCCAGTTTCCATTCATGGTGAAAGCAAATGCTCATCACCCTCAGCTCATTCTCAAGAGATGGTATCGTGAAGTTGATTAGTAATAGTTTTCATCTTAGGCATCTACTTCTATTTGTTCTTGAAAAAAATGCTATATGTTTTGACAAATATTTTGCCAGTCATTTGGCATACAGAATGGTTGTGAGGCAAGTTTCGCAAATTTTATTACTCTTTTATAACTAAAATAATCTCAGTAATGCTGAATATACAAATGATAATATTTATATGGTTAAAAAGCCCAATTCAAGAGCTTTCAGCTGGTACTATTTTCAATTCTTGAAAATTTTGCAGACTTTGCAAAAAATGACATTCAAATTGGCTAGTCACAAAATCTAAGAAGTCTAATATAAACTTTTAACCTACTTTTTGAGTAACTAGCTTTGCTTTGTTGATGTTTTGGTGGTCATATTTGAAATCTGCACTATCAGAATGTACTGTGTAGATAATTTGATGTAAATATTGTGATAAAAAAAACTTTCACAGGACTTTGAATGTTATTATTTATCGCTGGCACAAATTTTGGGCGGACCACGCCCTAAAATGAGCCAACTTTTGACTGGCCGTATCTCCGGAACGCCTTAACCTATTGTGCTGAAATTTTGGGTGAGGTGGTTTCTCCTGGGACTGAATATTTATTGTAAAATTCATCAAAATCTGAGAGGGTGGGTGACACTGACCTTAAATTTGACATGGAATGACCCTAGACCTAATCTTTTATCAACGTGAATTTAATAAACTAGGTATATTATATCACAGAATTGAAAGTGCTTTTCAAATAATACGGAAAAAAGTTTCCTATAAAATTGTGTTCTTCAGTATTTGGGGGACGGGGATGGACCACGAACTACCTACCAAGCACTGTTGGTCCTTCAATGCCTTTGCGCCGTTTATATATTAAACTTTTATTTAGTTAATGGCAATCAAACACATCAGCACTTGATGTCTTGCAAAAGCATGACAATTTTCTGCAAAACAAATTTATAATTTTATTACTGCAGGAAAAAACCTTATCTTATAATTTATCATTTTCTCCATAGAAAGAGTCTGCACGAAAAAACTAACAGTCTGTAGTTGTAACTGGCCATTGCGTAGAAAGACTGCGGTGGAGAAATAACTCAAGCCAATTGCAAATTACTTCCGTAATTAGATGTGGATGGAAAACACACGGGGACTTCTCTGTGACCGTGGAAGTGTAACCTTACCTTTATCAAAATATGCCATGTTCCAGTGTCTTAATCGCCTTTCTTTTGGTTACCGTTCCACTTTGGGGAGGCAATTCAGTTACAGATTGTAAGTACTTCTTTATATATTGAACTCCAATGTTACTGTATCATTGCCTGAAAATAAGAATGTCTTCAAATCCTCTTTGTTACTGGAGTCAAAAAACTAAAAAAAACATTGTGCTGTAAGTGTTTCTAATAATACAGCCAGACTATTATTTTGTTAATTGGATGATAGAAATATCAACCAAAATGTGGTTATCTGTTTGACCAGATATACAGTAAGTTCCTCATCGTGAGCTGTGTTATAGAAGTAGAAAGCTAACGGTATATTCCGATATGTCACTCAGTATCCTTGGTTCTCTAAATTAAAACGGCAATGAAAATCGGTTAAGGAATAACAAAACCACCATTTCAGGGACTTTAGTGCAAAGAGGGGCTATAGGGGCCTATAGCCTCCACTTTTGCTAGAAAACGTAGGAATTAAAAAATGGGCCATCATCAATCCTCCTTTAATCGTTTACAGCGCTACCCTGATTTTCTCAACTCTCCCCGGTGTCTGTCTTACTTTCCAAGTTGTCTGAGGTTGCTCTTGCACACTATTTTCACAGCGATCGTTGTACTTAGTGAATGATAAACCTCTTTTTTCCAACAAAATCTCAGGCTGAAAGTGTTCAAAATATTCCGTGAAAAGTAGCGGAAGTGTTTGAATGCGGTTATATGATTTGTATGACTTAATGCGGTTATATGATTGTTATATGATTTAAAGGCAGTCTGTCCTCTATTGTTATCAAAATTTCTCTTCACCGCCATGATATTCATGCACCGTTGGTTTAAAGGCAGTCTGACCCCTATTGTGCACCGTTGAGCTTAATCGATGAAAACAATTTAAACCAACCAAAGACCACATGGATTCCAGAGCTTTTGAATCAAATGTCTGTGTTCCCGTTGAAGTGAAGCTGTGGCCTTGTTGCTAGAAACATTTTGTTCCCTGTTTGGTTTTTGAGACAGATATGTCAACAGCGAAAGGAAATGCTTCCATTATCATCAGTCAATTTCAGTAATTAAATCTTATTGCCATTCCCGATAGCTTTTCGCTCACAGCTTCAAATATCGTCCACTACCGCAGCTAGGCCAGCCAAATCCGTTTAGGCAGGAAGACTTATTGTTCATATTAGCCAATCATTGAGGAGACAGACTGCCTTTAATGCACAGGTAACCAATCAGAATTAAGAACCAACAAGCGTACTCTCACTGAGCGAGCGAGTTGCTGTGATGAATTTTGTTTTGGTTCCAAAAGGCAGTTCAATAACCAATGTCAGATGCTAAGAAATGCAGAGGAAGACCCTCTAAAGGGGAAAGTTTCAAGAAGGTGGCTTCAGGCACATAAACGTGACGCGTGACGCCCCCCCCCCCCAAAGGCTGAAAATTCCAATTACAGTTGGAAAACTTAGAGGTTCACTTGGAATTTTTTTCGAACTCTTATGACCAAATATGTGAATTTTATTGCTTAGGGTTTTCCGGATTTTAAATGTAAAAATCTTAAACCTTATTAAAGTTCAAACTCTTGAGCAGACACATCTTCTAATCATTTCTAAATGTGGTCTCCTAGATCTCAAATTGCACCATTACATCGCTTTTCTTTTAGACAGGGGTTAAGTTAGATTGAAATATTTTGAACAGGTGAGGTGAATTTCTGGATAAGAAGTTTAAATTTAACTATCGGTATTGATTTAGCATGCAGTTTTGAAAAAATCATACAATTGATCAGAACAATTGAAAGTGGGAATTTTTCAAGAAACTACGAGTAACCAATTCATTTAAAACGTTAAAAAAATCTGTCATTGCAAAAAGTTCTCAAAGCTTCTTATCTTCCCCTGTACTTTGTAGATCTTATCATAAATTGCTTCGATAAATCTGATGAAAAGCCACAAAACACTGATCAAAGAAGCGGCAGCAGAAGTATTTGTTTGATCAAAGAAGAGTGTTTTATCTCACGAACTGGGCACATGCACTTGTCCTCAGCTCACATTTTTCAGTTGAAAAATACAAAGGACGTTTAGCCCTCTAAAAACTGTAAAAAGTTTCCTTCGATCAAGACCAAAAGATGAAATGGTCTGTTCCTTGATTCTTCTTTATTGTGAAAAAGATATTTCATATAAAATTGATCTGCAGCAAACAGTTTTATGATGAGCAAAGCAGAAAAAGAACGGAGTCACTGTTAATTGACCTGAAAGAATATTACTGTTCATCATTAAATATATCTAAGATCTAATGCTGGTTTGACTTTTATGTTGCTTTACTTCTTATGAAAAGATTAAATGTCCGTTTTACGTTAATCAAAATTTAGGGATTTCCTTTACCTTCTTTAGTGCTTTTACGCTTGAAACTAGAAATCTGGAATAAGGCTATTTTCAAAAACCAATTTAGTAGGTTCAGTAGGTTAACAGGTCGAGAGAAACTTTTTCTCCAGCAAAGTTTGAATTTTCAACCTTTCATGACTCCCCAAAATTATCCACTTGTTTTCGTCCCTGGGTGGCTTTGCAACAGACGACTTTTGAATTTTTGGCGAGACCTTCGCGAAGAGCTTGGTTTCCATACCAATAATGATTTGGTTTTGGCTTTGGTCAGTGCATATGAAGATAAGGCTGTCAGGTTCGTAATAGCATTCTTTCTGTATATTCTTGCATTTTCAGTTTTATTCAAGTACCATACGTACAATACGAAATATTAAGTTCATTTAAGCTCTTTTAGGTAATCTAGACTAGGATAGTGTCTAAATGACTAGGCCAATAATTGTTAATGTAATCATGGCTTCCACCCCTGGAGCCCGAGAAGAAAAAAGATACCAAACTGCAACTGAAACGCTTTCTTGTGAAGTTATACAAGGAATTTAAAAAATAAACAAGATGCATATAATTAGGTTACAAAATTCAAATAGCAAAGTGATAGTTACCAATATTATTGTATGAAGCTACCTCAAGATAATTGCTTTTTAACTTCTGCAGAGACTTCGCAACTCTAACAGAAAAACAGCGTTATGAGATACCTGATGCATCAACAACATTTGTACAAAGGCATGCACTGCTGCAACCATTTTTTAAGATTCAGGGCAGGACAATGCAAAAAGTAATAATTGAGGACAGTCAAATTGAAAAAAGGTAGAATGATGTTTTTGTCACTTAATTTTAGTAGAAGGCATCTATAGTGTCATACATATTTAGAAGGCCAGACTGCAGAATAAGGGAGCAATGTACAAGAGATCATGGATAACTGCATTCAAGAGGGGCAAGGATCAAAGATGTGTTTGTATTGTATACATTTGGTCTTTCCTGACTGAATATTATTGCTTATAGACCTTCAACTTTTTTGGAAGGCAAAAATGAAGCCATAGATTTGGAGACAGAAGAAGGAGAACTAAGTGGAATAGAGCCTGGAGATGAAGGGAGGCAGGAGTGAGGCAGAACTATACATTCCAACAACACTCCAACATTTTGTTATTTTGTGTTGACAGAGGGAAGGTGATATTAAATTGGTAATCTCTATTCATAAACACTTTGTGAATTTACCCTTATAGTATTCGTTTTATCTTTTTCTTATTTTCAGGCAGGGAATGAGTGAAGAAAAAGGAAAATCATTGAATGGGCTCCAACTGTCCGCAATCATTTTTGGCATTGCTCTGAAAGCGGTAATGAAAATGTGACTGAAATGAAGGTTATTGTCAAAGATTACTCCCAAGAAACTTATAATGACACACCATTTGATAATTCCCCCTTTATAATAAGTCAATAAGCATTATCAGTTAGTTATAACAATGATGTAAAGAATGTAAATGATATATTTGTGCAAGGATTATAGATCTTGGAATCAATTTGCAAGATACATCAATGTTTTTCCAAATATTATTATATGGAAATTTTGAAGATGAATGCCATATTTGACAAATAAACTGATTGCAAAAAATTTTGATCTTCCACCACAGGACAACTGGATCAATATGCTTAAGCATATGTGCAATTTTCATTTTGATTGTCAGCATGGTCCTTTAGAAAGTCTAGAAAGAGCAGACTGGTTCAACCCCACTGATCCTGATTTTGCAACCGTACAGGAAATGGTGCTAGGCAAAAACCTTTTGAAGAGCTTCCAGTATCACACTATTTTTAGGTATGTACAAATTTAACAACCTGTGTTGTTAATAAAGTAACAGTCTCGAAGGTCGAATTATTAAAGAGCGAAGTCGATAGTAAGAGAGGTACGTCGTGTTATTATCTTATTCCAAACCAACTAACTATTTCTAAATAAACACAGCGGTATATACAAACAGCGAAGCGCAGCATGAAAAACACAGCAGGAACAAAACAAAACGAACAAAAGCTTTGATGTTATCACTACAGTACCTCCCCCCTAGAATGCGAGCTCGAGAAAAGCATTTTGAGACAAAAGTTGTTAAAACGTATGTACGAATGTTGAGACATGTCCATATCTGTCGGGAAAATGGACTTGTCTCCCTGAACGTGTTGTCCGAGTAGTACCAGGTACTTGGTTCTCTACCGGCATGGCCCTCGTTGAAGCATGGTTGGATAGGAATGATGTGTTTCTGGCAGTTGAACGTTGGTTATCTGCATCGGTATAAGCAACTTTCAGACGATCTATGCTTATTGTTTGTTGTTTTCCATTGACATCTACGAGGAAATGTTTGTCATTGCGCTTGAGAACCTTAAAAGGACCGTCATAGGGAGGTTGAAACGGCTTTCGAACAGCATCATGGCGAGCAAAAACGTGCGTACAAGATGGAAGATTAACTGGGATGTTTGTGTCAATCCATCTTGTGGAATCCGGTTGAGCTTTGATTGAAGCTTTAAGCTGTCGATGGAAACGCTCAACCATGCCATTGGCGCAAGAGCGGTAAGAAGTAGTATGAATACGTTTGATTCCAAGTAAATCAGCAAGGGAACGGAAGAGAGCTGATTCAAACTGAGCTCCTCTATTAGTTGTTATCGTTGAAGGAACACCGCAGAGTGCGATCCAACGTGAAACAAAAGCTTGAGCGACGGTTTCTGCGGTAGCATC